AAGAATTATGTTTTATTACCTTTTTTTAATTAAATATATTTTATTCCCATTTAATCGAAGTTTTATCTCAAAGTTTGTTTGCATTGGTTTTAGAAAAATACCGGTTCTCATAAATATAGCACAGACACAGGCACTACACACCTACTCCTATGTTTAAAGTTTTCAATTTGTATACAAATCGTATTCAATAACATTGTCTCCACTCATATTACCGGACAAACCTGTCTATAGTGAAGACCTGTTTACCATCTCAGTCTAAACTTTCACTGTATTTCCATCCAAACAATAATCAATTTATGTTTCAAATATGCAAACCTATGATTCGTTGATCACAATAATCATAAAACCATTATTTAAAAACAGAAACTTTTTAAATTCAAGAAAAATGATCTTTATTAAAAACACAAAATACCGTAAGAATTAAATACAATTGAATTTGAGACAATTTTCTTAAACTTTTTCTATTAATAGTAATAATAATATTGGGTTTCATTTGAGAGATGATTTGAACAAAAAACTAATGATTCGTTAAAAAATATGTCAAAAAAGTTAAATGAGAGTCAAATATGCTTCTAGTGCTTCAGTCGGCCTTATCCTTGTTGTCAGTGCCATCTTCGGCACTGGAATGCCAGGTCAGCCTCTCCTCGTAGAACTTTATCACAACCTGCGGACACTTCACCTAAACACAGAGCAAAAGGTGGTTAACGAGCAACGAATACCCACTGACAGCACAGTGTCTGTCCATCGCTTACATTAGCCAACTTCGCCGGAACCAAATCCGCTTCTTCCGAGTCTTTCCTGCGTTTCAATGCAAGCCATTAGTTGAGACCAAAGAGGGAACCGTATCTTCACTCAAATCTTACCATTTTATTAAAAACATGAGTTCTCCGGAGGCATCGGTGGCTCCGATTATCTTCTCGGGCTCTAAGTTGCGGTCAAAGCCACGCGGTTTCGACTCGTCCTCCGAGCGCTTCTTCTTCTTCTCGTCGATGCCCTTCTTGTTGTCGCTCTTCTTGGGGTCGGTCTTCGCCTTCACGTCTGGCGTGTCCTTGGCTTTGTTCTCCTGCTTCTTCTTCTTGCGCTGCTCTTCATACTCGGCGATGAGGTCGGGACAGTCCAGGTTCTCGACCGGTTCCCACGTGTTGTCCTCTTCAGAATAGCCCTTCCACTTCAAGAAGTACTCGACACGACCGCTGCGGTGTCTCTTATCGAGGATCTTCTCGACGACGTACTCCTCCTCCTCTGCGTCCTCCTCCATGGCTTCGGGCGTCGTTTTCTCGGTCTCGTCGTCTGATTTGGTTTTTCCCATTATTTGGTGTCTGAAATGCAAACCATTGTCAGTGAGAGTCGTGTTGTTTGTGCCGCCAATGTCTGCGTCAAACAGTATAGACGGACACGACATGTGTGTCAATACATACGTTGTGCTCACATATGAGTGTCAATTCAATGCCAATCCAATGAATGACCGCTTTATGAGTGAACCAAACGGTGTGTCCTTTCGCTGAGAAAAGTGTCGGCAATGCAATGCAATGGCGACCCAATAGACCCTCACAAACACAATACAGTCAATCAATAAGAGCGCCAAATGTATGCGTAAAACACATACTTTATGTATGCCTTGCACTCAAAGTCAGTTCACTTCAATGAATACAGTGTCAAATGTATGGCAAATATGAGTTTCAAACTTATAGTCACTCAACGCTTCATATTATCAGTTCATTAGTAAATCACATTTTATGAATGCTTTCAAATGTGAGTTCAATTCAATTAATTAGATGTAAAGTTTATACATTTTATATACCCTTAAACTCATTAAACTATGAGTTTTGCGATGGTTGCACTGTACTGGTAAAAGGTACCAAATGACCGGTAGGTGTAGTCATTTAAAAGTCATAATCTGTGCCCAAATATAGGAAACCTTTAGATCCATAGCATTCATGCTTTGTGTGTCTCATACAGCGTTTG